ATCTGAGCATGAAGTTTGGCGTTCGCGTCAGGGATTTGCCAGGGCCTGGGCGGGGCGGCAGGGAGCTTTTCCCGGAAGACCGACTGTGCGCTAACCTCCGCCAACAGGGTGGGGGCGAGGCAGCTTTTGCCGGACCTTGCCTGGCACCGTACCTGCACAGAGGAGCCAGCACTCGCAATAGTGAGCAGTGTTGGTACTGGGCACCAGGGTCACGCGGTAGTGACATAGCAGGCGGTGGAGCCAGCCTAGGCAAAGGTTGAAAATCAGTCCAGTGCAGGCTTCCTACTTGGTGGCAGCAGCAGTCCCTCAAATATGCTCGGCTCGATGGAGAGTCCTGTCGCCGACGCTTCCGTTCCTCGGACTTTTCATCCTCGGAAGTGAGATGCCAGAAGGGCTTTGCCCTCGGCCGTTCAGCCAATCGGGCCGTAATGGACGAGGAATATCTCGGCTCTGGTCGCCGATGCGCCTTGTCTCGCGACCCTCGCTTGCGCGGTCGGGCCTCACCAGCAGCCATGCTCCCAGAACCCTTGTCGTGGTGGGCAGAGGCATCGGGAGCTCCATCATCCATGACCGTAGAGGGAGAAGCGCAGCGTGTAGCGGCTGCGGCAGACTGACCATGAGTAGTGGTGTGGTCTGCGGAGCTGGTGGCCCGGATCTTCGCGCCTCCTTGTCTGGCTGAGCCGGGTAGACGGCGTGGCTTCCACTTGGCAGGCGCAGGAGTGGGCTGAGGCTCCAGGGCCTCAGCTGGGACCTTCACCGGGGTCTGCGAGGCATCGCCACCAAAGACAGGTCCAGGCGTAGCAGCAGGTCCAGACCCAGGCGTGGACCCAGATAGCGTCCAGTGCCCGGGGTGCTCAGCAGGTGCAGCTGTCATCGGGCCAGTCTCGGGCACAGCCGGTGCCGGTGAAGTACCAGGCCTTGGAGGTGGGGTGTCAGAAGTAGTCGCCTCTGTGGGCTGGTCCACCATAGCTTTCTCTGAGTCCACATCTGACCGAGGTCGGGGGCCAGATCTCTCCTTAGGTTTCGGCTTGGCGTACTCCCTGGGCTTCGCAGTGGTGGAATGCTGCTCCGCGGGGAGAGCCGCAGCTTCTTGAGAGTCCTCGGAACCTCCACTTCTACCCACTCCTCCTCAGCACCATACCTGGTGGCAGTGGAGCTCGCCGCACTCATCTTGGGCGTCGGCAGAAGCCTAGTAGTCCGGGTCTTCGCCTCCCTTTCAGCAGCAGCCTGGTCTCCCTGAGCATCTTCAGAGCCAGTGTTCTTCTCAGGCTTTGGCGGCACCAAGGTCCGCAGTGACTGCCACCCCAGCAGCCACCTGGCAGAGTACACCGTTAACGGTGGAGGTGTAATCCTCCACCGCAATGACGCATCCAGCCCGTCATCCTGGACCTGGCCCTGAGGGGGTCTGTAAACAACGTGTGCACGGTCTATCGTGTACACCTTGCGTCGCTCCTCCGCTGATCCCTCCAGCACGCGGACGTTGAAGGCGGAGTCATCCGAGTCCCCACTCTTCAAAATGACAGCGTGGTATCCATGGATTTTGCTATGCGCACCTCCAACGACTGTCACGTCCGTGCCTGCCGTCAGCTCGTCAGCCTTGCAAATGAGCGCAGCGTCCAGAGGCTCCGGGGGGACTCTCGGCTTCTTTTTGCCCATCGCGGCAGTACTAGCAGGAGAGGGTAGCCCCTGCTTGCTCCTTGAGAGGCGGTGCGGGAGTGGCAACATGTAGCTCCACAGCATGCAGTTGGATAGCTGAGGCAGCTGAGACGGACTAGAGACAGCAGTGGTAGAGTGCCTGCACTCAGCTGAGCCAGCGACGGGGAGGATGTCGGAGGTGATTCTCCACCATTGTGCACAGCGGCTTCCCCTTGAGGCTGGTAGAGCCCAGGGGCGGACCTGAGAGGTCTGAGCAGGAGCCCAGGTGGAGGGCCATGGTGGACAGGGGCTTCCGGCGATACTGAGGTGGTATCCAGTGGCAGCGCTGCAGAGGCACCTCCTGAACAGATAGCTAAGTGGGGCCACCCGGTCGGCACCTCGACATTGGCCTGCCAGGACAGCCATGGGCAGCACCATGTCGAAGACCTCAGTGGGCAATGCATGTCGCGATAGTGTGCTCACGGTCAGAGGCTGACAGGCAAGTGTGCTTTGGTACAGCAGCGGCTCAGCCTTTCCAGCCTTTGCGCAGTCCGTTTGTCTCAGGAAGAGGCGCCAGGTATGGCTGTGCACAGTGCCCGCTGCAATCCGCTCACTGCAGGTTGTGAGGCTCGATAATGACCGTGATTTTCCATCCACCACCTGAGGCATGACTGACGGCCTTGGCCTTTGCACTTCCTTGGCTGACGGAGCCTGGCGGTCTGCATGGCCTCGGT